CTGACCCTACATAGCAGGTGTGCTGACTATACACAGCAGGTGTGCTGACTCTACATAGCAGGTCTGCTGACTCTACATAGCAGGTCTGCTGACTCTACACAACAAGTCTGCTGACTTTACACGGCAAGTCTGCTAACTCTACATGGCAAGTCTGCTGACTCTACATGGCAAATGCTGACTCTACATAGCAGGTCTGCTGACTCTACACAACAAGTCTGCTGACTTTACACGGCAAGTCTGCTAACTCTACATGGCAAGTCTGCTGACTCTACATGGCAAGTCTGCTGACTCTACATGGCAAGTCTGCTGACTCTACATGGCAGGTCTGCTGACTCTACAGGGCAGGTCTGCTGACTCTACATGGCAGGTCTGCTGACTCTACACAACAAGTCTGCTGACTTTACACGGCAAGTCTGCTGACTCTACATGGCAGGTCTGCTGACTCTACACATCAAGTCTGCTGAATCTACACATCAGGTCTGCTGACTCTACACATCAGGTCTGCTGACTCTACACATCAGGTCTGCCGACTCTACATGGCAGGTCTGCTGACTCTACATGGCAGGTCTGCTGACTCTACACGGCAGGTCTGCTGACTCTACACGGCAAGTCTGCTGACTCTACATGGCAAGTCTGCTGACTCTACATGGCAAGTCTGCTGACTCTACATGGCAAGTCTGCTGACTCTACATGGCAAGTCTGCTGACTCTACATGGCAAGTCTGCTGACTCTACATGGCAAGTCTGCTGACTCTACATGGCAAGTCTGCTGACTACACATCAGGTCTGCTGACTCTACAGGGCAGGTCTGCTGACTCTACACATCAGGTCTGCTGACTCTACACATCAGGTCTGCTGACTCTGCACAGCAGGTCTGCTGACTCTGCACAGCAGGTCTGCTGACTCTACACATCAGGTCTGCTGACTCTACACATCAGGTCTGCTGACTCTACACATCAGGTCTGCTGACTCTACACATCAGGTCTGCTGAATCTACACATCAGGTCTGCTGACTCTGCATAGCAGGTCTGCTGACTCTACACATCAGGTCTGCTGACTCTGCATAGCAGGTCTGCTGACTATACACAGAAGGTCTGCATAGCAGGTCTGCTGACTCTACATAGCAGGTTTGTTGACTCTACACATCAGGTCTGCTGACTATACATGGCAGGTTTGCTGACTCTACACATCAGGTCTGCTGACTCTACACATTAGGTCTGCTGACTCTGCATAGCAGGTCTGCTGACTCTACAAATATGCAATGTTCTAGTATCCCAGATTGTGTTTTACCTTTTGTTTTATTCTGTATTTGTTTTGGGTGTCTGTCACCATTGACATCATCATCTTCATCTTTACATTTAGTCGACAATCTCTTAATTTTCCCTTCTTTCTTCAGTTCTTCTTCTCTCTTCCGATGATCTGCCATATCTTTCTCTAAATAGTAGTTAGCAGCTCGTTTCATGTACTCGTCTTTTGCTGTACTTCCTGGGGGGTTGTAATCCGTGCTTTCCTCAAATGAAATTGATAATGCCGTTGGCACCGATTTCTTCCGATCTGTAAAGATCTGTTGTCGGCTGTCATGTTTGGCTAATGGTGGCATACCTGTTGAAGTAAAAAAGTCCAACCAATGAGTAATACCTTTGTAACATCCCCCTTCATACAGAAATGGTGTCACTGTTCACATCAAGCTGGTCATGTTCCTAATTACAGTTATGTACAAGTTAAGAAAAAAATATATTATTATACCATACATCCATGCATATAAAACACTCATTCAGAACAAAATTATAGACAAAACCATGCAGACAATATATACTGTCATGCATTCACCATGCACGTACCACGGTGTCATTGTAAATATATCGTCCTGTACATTGCCAGAGAAAGTAGAAACGAATGTCACTGTTATTTTCTATAGATAGTAATTTTATGAGATTTACAAACCACTCGTATACAAAGAATGACACCACTTCTAAAATATGTTTGTTAATGTG